ACTTTTAAATGTAAGTTGGCTATATTAAAATGATTCATTGTTTTAACTTTAGAATGAAATATGTTAAAAGATTTTATTAGTAAACTGCATAAAAAATAAAGAATTACCTATAAGATAAACAATTCTATTATTTATTTGTTTATTAAAAATGCTTAATTAATTAGGGTAAGGGTACCCAAGATGGCCACCCATCTTTTGAACGACTGTAAATAAAATTTAAGCGATTTTTGAAGAACAGATGAAATTTCGACTTTCAAAAAAGTGTCCCCAAACCGTTTTTAACGATATTTCATTATTCGACGCTTGTTAGGCAAGCTCGTGGTAAATTATTACGTAAGAAGGGGGAGGGGGGGTCTGAGAAATCTTATGTATCCTTACATGGGGGAGGGGGGGGGGTCAAAATTGCCTAAAATCGTCCTTATGTAATTAATGAATGGCCCCTTAAACCCGATCACTAGCGATTTGACGCTATGAACTCAATTTAAGATGGAGATATTGGTACACTGTAAAAATTAAATCTTAATTTAAGATCAGTCTTAAATTCAGCACTGTCTGCTGTAATGTTAAATCATACAAAATCCATTGCTTAAATTCAGCATTGACTGCTTTAAAAATGTTGCGTCTTAATTTAAGACTGCTTTCCTGTCTTAAAATAAGACTTTCTTTTTACTGTGTACTGTGAATAGTACTTAACATTCAACTTATATTAAAAAACTTTCGTTTACACTGAAAAAATTTAAAGACAGCTGCTGTCCTTGTAGATAGCGCTGCTTTCTTTCCCGCGTGACAGCAGTGCACTTCTATCAAAAGGAACGCAGTTACTCTTTTTAGGGTTAACTGCTAGCCCGAAAAAGAGAGATGCTCGCTTTTTGCGGTTAACTGCTAACCTTTATGGTAGAGCGCGCTGCTGTCTCACATTGAAAGTAGCAGGGCGCTTTAAATTTGTTCAGTGTAGTTTCATGAATTCAAAATAGAATCAGAGGCGATCAAATGTTTTTGGAGGAGTCAGAAAAAAAACGTTTTTTGGATTTTTAAGTTTTTCGATCATTATTTTTGAGTCTTAATTTATTTGGCAAATTTTTTTGTTGCTATTGGATGTCCTTCTTCGAAGTACATATATATGTATATAGTTTTGTCTTATTTCAAAAAGATTTAATTAAATTTATTCTGAAATGTGAGGAATACACTCGGGGTAAAGCCGCTCACTTAGTTCTAAATTTAAAATTTAGAATAAAGTAATTTCACGTATTATATTTTAACAATAACAAAATTTATAACTTGTTAAAACCAAAATTGTAACTACATTTCACTTTCTCTTAATAAAATATAACATTATTTAAATTCATAGTTGTAATTCATGAAACCTATATTCATTATTTATTAAATCAATTTTCTGTTTTTAGAATTTTTTATAGAACTCATATTTTATCAATAATAAATCATACTTAAGACGGAAATAAGACGAATTTTAATCCTTTCTTAAAAAAGATTTGAAGTGGAAAGGTCGAATATATCGATTCGAAAAGTATCGAAGTAAAGAATGGGCAATGAGAATGTAAAATCTTAATAGAAGGGTGTTTTCAAAATTGTTTGGACATGTAAAGGTGGCGCTGCAGTCGTATGTTATTTAAAAAGAGCGCGAATATATAAATTTTATTTTTGTTAAGAAAAAGTACTCATAATAAATCTTATTTTGCATTGTTTAAAAATCGTCAACATTTCAAATATAAATAAGCAAATTATTAACTGAAAAAATTTGAATATTATAATGTCTGTATTATAATTAATATTATTATTAATGAAATAATGGACTTGAACAATGGACATATAAAAAATAGCACCGTAGACGGCCGCTTGCGGCCGTCGGAGGAGCTAGTATTTAAAAAATAAAACTGTTCCATCTTGAAAAGATAAAGTGAGCGGATTTACTTTGGAAAATTGTGATTTCGAAATTTGGTATGTATTAAAAAGTTTCTCTAAGTAAAACTAAAAACGATAAATAAAAAACTCTTTTTTATTTTTTTTAGTAGAAATCATAAACTTTCAAATGATATAAATTAACTTGGATTTAGAGAATAATTTCCTAGATTTTTACCGATCTGAAAAAAAGTGAGCGGGTTTACCCCAGTCTCCCCTACTTTGTGATCGAAATGGCTATTTGGTCAGATAAATTATCAGTTTCCTGGCACGCATTTAAAAAAAATATTTTATGTTTTTATACTTTTGTTGTTCTATGTGTCGTAGAACCTTATTCCCTGTTGACCAGTATGCTTTATTTTGTTATTAAGCGTTGTTTTTCAATTTTTAGACGAAAAATTACAGTTTCCTGGTTCTTTCTGACAGAATATACATGTGCTTATGTTCAAAACAGCGTAGAGCCAACAATTTTTAAACGTTTCAAAACAAATTTGTTTAATAATCCTTATTAAATTTGTAAAAGATTTGTGAAATCTAATATTTAATTTTTAGTTTGCATAAATATTTATATTATTATAAACAAATGAGCAATTCCACGGGAAGTGATCTGAAGAATTTTCGATGATTTTAGCAATATTAATAATACTTACCGAATTTGTTCCCTCATATACATGGAATAAAAATGTATAAAAGTTTTTTCAAAATTTTCAAAATTTTTTGAGTTACCGCTTACTCAAAATTTTGGTCGGTTTTTCAAAAAAGGCACATAACTTTTTTCTTTGTTAGCCGATTAAGATAATTTTTTTGGAAAATACTCATAATAAGAAGCACTTTAAAGAAAAAAATAAAAAGAAACAAAAAATTTTTTTTTGCCCGAAAAAATTTTTAAAAAATTTTTTGAAAAAATTTAATGAACTTAAATCGTTTTTGGACAATAAAAATAAAAAAGCGTTTGGTCACCCCGGGTGACCGCATCGGAGCCCGCGTTATAAAAAATCGTTGGTAGCGCGAAGGTTAAGAAAATGGTCGCCATATTTGATCTGTCATTTTGAATTCGAAAAATCTGGCATCAGAATTCGTAATCAAAAACCCCGGAGTAACAAGTTTCGTGTAAATTGCATGCAATTTTTAAAAATTCGTCAGCCATATTGGATCCGCTACTTTGAATTTTGGAAATCTGACATCGGATTCGCAATCAGCGACCCTGAAATGTACATGATTTTGTAAGTTATTGTTAATTTCCTTTTCATAACCTGGGTCCCGTGGTTGAATTGTTTATAAATAGCTGTAAAATTTACAACTGTGCAACTCTACGCCACTTCGACAGTGTTTTGGAGTAAGCAAATGGATTTTAATCTATACACGGAAAAAATTCCGGGACATTAGATGCGCCAAGGACAGTGTCAACAGCAGTACATTTCATTTTGCACGTCTGAGGTGCCATTTCGAGATATCAGACCTAGTCTTCTTGTATCAGACGTACGTAATGCACGTCAGATACGCCAAACTGGCACAGATGGCGTGCAAAATAAATGTAGAAGAAAATTTGACACAACCTGTACATCTGACGTGCCGATACTTTTTCCGTGTATGTATATAAAAACATATAACTTTATGAAAACTCCATTTTTGTTTTCATAAATTCAGGATGAAAAAACGAAAAAAAATGTTAATAATGATTATATAAAATTTTGTTAATTAAAAAAGTTATTTAAATAATTTTACTTAACTCTTATGCGGACAGTTCAAATTCTATTGTTTAATGAGAAAAATTACCTTGATTGTTTAATATTTAATATTCCAAAAGAAAATTTATATACCACCAAGAAATTTTCAATTATTAAACATTTTATTTTGCTCTCAAACAATATACAAACAACAAACAGATGACATAGGCTGCGCGCGCATCTTTTGGCTGGTTTTAGAAAAAACGTATTAGGCGGGAAATAAAATGTATGTCTTTAATTGCAGGGACCACCATAAATGATCGTATTAACCGGGTTCTACTGTATATAGATTAAAATCCCTGAGTTTCATTAAAATCCATTTGCTTACTTCAAAACACTGTCGAAGTGACGTGGAATCGCACAATTTGTAATTTTTTGACTGGACACTTTTAGGTAACTTTGATAATACTATTAACTTGAATTTAACCTACTTTTTAAAACATGAACGTAAAAAAAGATGTTGTGCCAAAATTATCTTCATTTTCTTCCTTCGTTTGTAGAACTACATATCTATTGAACTTCAAAAATCCAAAATATTTTTTTAATTAGTCAAATTTTTAAGAAACTACAATGTTTTTTGTGAAAAAAGTCAATTTTGCATTTTTTTGGTGATTTTTTTTGTTTTTAAAGTTTTTTTCAAAATTCTTTTAATTTATCAAAATATGAATAATATCATTGTTTTCCTTACTAAAAAACCAAAAAAATTCACTACCCATAATTGAATTTATGTCAAATAGAATGCTTTTAAAACAAGTTTAAAGTGTGGAATGTCTAGACACCCCAGTTACTTCTTAAAGGGTGAGTAAATTCACGTACTCCTGCTAGGGTTGATAATTAATTAAATATATATTAAAATATTTAATTAATCTCAGAAGAATTTGAAATATTAAAATTTTTCAAAAAACTAAGTACTTTAAATTTTCTAATTAAATTCATTCAAAATTGAAATTTTCCACAATTTTCAATTGAAACAGTTTGAAATTTATTTATGAAAATTGCAAACGCAACTCTTAAAATTCAATTAATTTAAAAATATTTAAGTAAAATTATTCATTTAATAATTTATAAGTAATAATTTTATAATAGTTCTTCAAGAATTGAATTATTTAAAATAAATTATTGTTAGAAATAGAAAAAATTGAAGGTTTTGTATTAGAATTCGTAGTAATTTCACAGTTTGTGAGGCAAACAAAAAAAACAAAAAATTCAAAATTTCTTTATGAATTCTAAAAATTTAATTTTTTCCAGTACTTTTAATAAAATTCCCTGACTTTTCTCTGTTTTCCCTGATTTCCTTAACCTGTGACAATGCTGCTTGAATTTTTATTTTAGTTTTCCTTTTGGTAATATCTTCAGATAATGATAAAGAAATTCGGGAGGAGAAGCAACGTCATCTATTAAGAGCGACTTCACTCGAACTTCGACAATTGGAGGGGCAACTGAGAAACGCCTACAACGTTAAATCTTTGCAAATTCAACTCAATGAGAGGGAGGCAATTCGAGCGAACAGCAGATGTCGTGAATTGCAACAGGATAAAGCGATTAAGGACTCCTATCAAAATGATCATTTCGAGCATGATAATCGTGTTCGAGCTTATGAGAAACGAGAACAATATCGTCACGATTTACAGAAACAATTAATCACCAATTGTCAATTAAAGAGGAATTTCAAAATAAAAGAATTCGAAAATGATCGTAAATTAAGGGAGGAAATAATGCAAATGCTTCACGGAGAAACAAGAAAAAAGTCAAAACAAAAAAAAAGAAATGATTAAAAAATTAAAAATCGAACGAGAATTGAGGCTCCCAATTTAAGAACCGGTCGGACGCTCGGAAGACACGCGCTAGTACCAGTTAGTGATGCATATCGAACCAAGAAATGATTGTGATCGCTCGTTTATATATAATATCTATATTGATAATTAACGATTTTGTCGATATGAATTTGTCAATCATAAAAGTATATTATTGTCTTGTTTTTATGTTAAAAATCGATCAAACTGCTCGAATTTGCATGACAGTTAAATTAAAATAATTATTTTGCTATTAACAACACAAAAATGTCAGGAAAAAGAAAGAATCCCGAGGAAGCAGGTGAAGAGAACTTAACTGAAACTGTTCAGTTTTCACAAAGGTTCAAATACAAATTTTTAATTTATTTTATATTCTATTGTTAACCTTTTCAAGAAAATGAATGAAAGTTTTTATATTTACTAGTCAGAAATTTCAACTGTAAATTAAATTGTTTTTATCTTTATATGTGATTGTTTAGTGGTGAACAGAAAAAGTTTAGAAGTAAAAGAAGAAAAAATAATGCGAAATCGTTAGATGAGTCCTTTGAATTTTTTCAAGGAACTAATTCTAAAATGGCTCGGTGCAACTTGTGTCCACCAGATTTAAATGAACAAGGTCCATGTATCATAAAAATGACGAACAGTAATACAACTGGATTACAACGGCATCTTAATAAATTTCATATTGAAGTTTACAAAGAAACGTATCCGGAAAAGGAAGACTCTCTTGGCTCGAAAAAAGTAAATTTATAAATCGCTTTTTTAAAAACATAACCCAAGAAGTATAAAATTCAAACATAAAAAATTATATTTACTAATATTTATATTTTAATTATTATATATTCATTATTTATTTTATTTATTATTTATATTTTATTCGTATATATTTATTAATATTATTATATTATTATTTTACATGTAATTATTTTATTTATAATTATATTTATTTATTGCTTCCTCATAGAGGAAGTATGTTATTTATTATTTTACTTTGTAATTCAATAGTAAGAAAGATGTGAAACAAGTTAGATTATTTTTATGAAATTTTTGGAGGTTTTTTGTACTTTTATAACATTACTTATTTGAAAATAAATAATAAATAATAAATAATAAATAATAAATAATAAATAATAAATAATAAATAATAAATAATAAATAATAAATAATAAATAATAAATAATAAATAATAAATAATAAATAATAAATAATAAATAATAAATAATAAATAATAAATAATAAATAATAAATAATAAATAATAAATAATAAATAATAAATAATAAATAATAAATAATAAATAATAAATAATAAATAATAAATAATAAATAATAAATAATAAATAATAAATAATAAATAATAAATAATAAATAATAAATAATAATAAATAATAGGGGAACATAGTCTAGGTCGGCCACCTTTTTGACTTTTGTTTATAACTTTTTTTTAAAAATGAATTTGGACAATTGAAGTATATGGTTGGAAAGTCCTGTTTAATAGAAACATTTTTTCTGTACAAAGTAAATTGACAGGTTTAAAAATGAAAAAGTTATAAAGATTTAAAAAAAAAAAAATTTGTAGTCCAGGTTGGCCATTACAGTCAAGGTCGGCCATGTTTAAAATTCAAAGGGCATTAATCGTTAAAAAATAAAATAACATGTTTGGAGTTACGGAAAATTGATTCTTTATTGTTTACAGTTTGTAACTTAATGAAATAACAAAATAATAAAAATAAACAATATAAAAAAATAAATATAAATAAAAAAAAATTTTGCACTAAAATATTAATAAAATTAAATAAAAATATTAATAAGATGATCAATTATATTATGAGTTATACAGAATTGCAGTTTTTGCAAATGAAGTAGCTCGTCCTCATCTTTGCGCATTTTAAACACATAGTGGCCGACCTTGACAGTAAGTAACATTACCGAATTGTTGTAACCATAAAGAAATACGTTTCGGGATTCGATTTTTTACTTTGTTTTCCTTTCAACCATGAGTCCCACAAATTTTCTGCATACTTGCCTTGACGATTCAATTTGTTTTTTATCTTTTATTAATGGTTTTTCACATTATGCACAAAACTTTTTTTGAGCTTTTTTTGTACCGACGTCACAGAAAACACAATTTTCGATTTTCCGAAAATGTAATTGAACAAAAAGTTAGGTTTCACTAAGACAAGCCTCGACAAATATTCGCGTAGGTGGCGCTAGTGAACTTGACAAAAAAACGCGAGTGGCCTACCTAGACAGTAGACCAACCTTGACTACATTCCCCTAACTAATAAATAATAAATTTAAAAAATTATATTTCTGGAAAGTGAATTTAAAACATTACATATAAGAATGATATAATTTTCACTTTCGATTTACTCATTTGAGGTATTTGTTCAAGAAATTTTTGAAAAAAACACTGTCGACTGGTTAGCAAAAAAATTTCTTCCCTTCTGCTTTTTTGACGATGACGAAAGACGAGCATATTTTAATTATTTAAACCCCGAAGCTGACATTCCCATGCGTAATCGATTAAAAGTGTTAACGGAATGTAGATACCAGGAGATGTTAAGAGTTGTCATGCAAATATTAAAGACTAACTGCTCCAAAATAGCATACACCATTGATGGATGGAGTTCAATTGCTAATCGATCTTATTTTGGAGCAACCGCGCATTTTATTAATGATGAATGGGAAATTCACTCGCTAGCTCTATTTTCTTACCATCGAATGGAAAACACGCGGGAAAGGAAATTGCAGAACTCTTCAAGAACGCTCTTGCAGAACATGATTTGGATGAGAAAGTTGCTGGTATTACAGTGGATAATTTAATTTAACTTTTCACATGGCTCTACTTGCCATGCACACTACGTTAGTACTTCTGTACAAAAGGGATCGTTTGAACCCGTGTAAGATTGAATAAATAAATAAATAAATAATGCCTCTGCAAATACAACGTTTATGAGGGAATTGTCGCATTTAATACCGAATTTCGACTGCATTGATCAATACTTCAGGTGCTACGCTCACGTTTTTTTTTTTTTTTTTTTTTTTTTTTTTTTTAAATTTAAGCGTTCAGGACATGTTGAAAGTATTGAAAATAGATTCAATTAAGAACATAGAAGAAAAAGATGATTTTGAAGACAATGAAGATGCAGAGGAGGAAGCAAGGAAAGAGATAATAGAAGAAGACGATGAAAATGCAACAGATGAGACAAATCTTGAATTCCCACTATTTAGACTTCGAAAATTATTTCAAATACTGAATTATTCTGAGCAGTGGAAAGAAAAATTAACAAGATGCTGTGACATTGTTGAAGAGAGTTTACTTTGTCAAAATAATTTAAAGTTGAGAAAGTATTTTTTATCTGAGTATGACTGGGAACTGTTGAAAAATGTCAACGAATATTTGGTTCATTTCAAAATTCTTTCTCAAGCACTTTCTGGTGAGAAGTATATTATAGTTCCTTTGGTAGTAATCGGCTTCAATATGCTTGTTGATCGAATTGAAGAGTCAATTAAAGAGTTGACAGAAAAAATGGACCAGAGTGAAATCGATGCAGTCATAGTAGAAGCTTTAAAAGCTGCAAGGGCAAAGCTAATAAAACATTACGAGAAAAGTAATTGGGTATACTGCGCTAGCCTAATTTTGGACCCCAGATTCAAAGTCAAGTCATTTTATGAAACCGAGTGGGGAAAAGAAATGGCAGCTACGTCGATTAAAAAGTTCGAGGATATTTATCAAAAATTTTATTACAAATCGGAGGTATTTATGAGATATAAATAAATAATTTCCAACTAATATTTTTATTTGTTTCAGACTTCGCACTCGATAATAAAAGAGTAGAAAAAAATAGCTTTTAAAATAAAAAAAAATTAACTTGACGAACAAAAAAAACTCGTTTTCGACACTTTACAAAACTGACAAAAATTCTATTCCATATTTTTTATTTTTCTGACTTTTTCCTAACTTCTATTTAAAATATTTACTTCTTTCTTATCCTGCTAATAAATTGAATTCCTGCAACGAATTTTCTTATTCTTGAAAGAATTTAAATATTTACAAAAATACTTTAATTCTTGCAATGAATTTTATAAAAATTTTTAAACAATTGACTTCTTTCGAATAAATTTATGCAGATTCTAATTTAAATAATTAAATTCCTAAGAAATTTTTATTACTTATGAAAAGAATTGAATTCTTACAAACATTTTTACAAAAAAAGTTTTAAATAATTTAATTAATTTTGGAATTTTTATAAAAATAATAGATATTAAAAATCATTCAATTGCGAAAAGTTTTTAAAAATACAATTTTACAAAGAATTCAATTAGAATTTTTGTAAATAATTAAATTCTTCCAGAGAATTTTTAACACACTTTTTTTTTAAATAATTTATTTTTTGAGGAATTGAAGTTAAATTTTTATGATTTTTTCGAAATTTTTTAAAAAATGCCATTCTAAATTAATTAATTTCTGTGGAAATTTTATTATTTATAAAAATAATTGAATTCTTGATGAATTTTATCAATTTTGTAAAAATAATTGAATTATTTTGCGAAATTGAATGAAAATACTAAATATTGAAAATAATTGAATTTTGAAAGTAATTGAATCGTTTCAAAGAATTTAATTATAATTTTTAAGAATGGCTTTTTAATTTCTAAAATTAGCTAATTTAAAGGTGTGGAAATTCTAAAAAAATAGTATTTATCAATGACTGAAATCTAAATAGTACTCAAATAGTATCATAACATAAAAAAGTAGTAAATAGTTGGCTTTAGTAAATGAGTTCGAAGTCTGATGTTAATATTTTAATATTGAATGAGAGCAACATTTATAAATAAAGAAATAAATAAAAAGCAACATCTTGACTTTTAAAGTTATTTTTTTTAATGTAATCGTTACTTTTAAAAATAATTAAAAATAGGGGAGTGTAAGGTATGGTGACGGACACTTTCTTTTTTGCGTCTCTCTCTCTCAAAAAACAATATTTTTCAAAATTTCAAAAGCAGGCAGTTGCTGACATCTATTAAGCATATTTCTGTCAGAAGCGGCTGTTAAAATTTAAATTCAGTGAAATTTTACAGCTCTTGGCGCAAAAAACTAATTTTTTTTATTTTTGAAAGTTGTAAGGTATGGTGGCGCATTTGGTGTATTTAACTAAAATATTATGTAGATGTTAAAATTATTTTTTAAAACTACTTTTTATGAATCGACTAAAAGTAGCTAATTTAAAATTGCAACCGGATAAATGTGAGTTTCTCAGACCTGAAGTAGTTTATTTGGGACACATTATTGACAAAAATGGAGCTAGACCAGATCCAAAGAAAATTAGTGCGGTTAAAAATTTTCCAACTCCCAAAAACGTGAAAAACATAAAGCAATTTTTAGGCTTAGCAGGATATTACAGACGTTTTATTGAAAATTTTTCTAAAAAATCGGGAACTTTAAACCAATTGCTAAAAAAGAATGTGATTTTTAAATGGAGTGAAAAACAACAAGAAGCTTTCGAAAAATTAAAAGAAGAATTAGGTGAAGAACCTTTATTGCAAAGACCAGATTTTGATCAACCTTTTATTCTAACTACCGACGCATCAGGTTTCGCTATCGGCGGAATTTTGTCTCAAGGCAAAATTGGAAAAGATAAACCTATTGTTTACCCATCAAGATCCCTAAACGAACATGAGGTCAAATACGATACTTATAATAAAGAAGCTCTCGCGATCGTGTATTGTGTTTTACATTTTAGACATTTTCTTTACGGCAGAAAATTTAAAATTGTGACTAACCATAAACCTCTACTATGGTTTCAAAATTCAAGTGATCCTTGCTCTCGTGTTACAAGATGGAAACTAAAATTAGCAGAATACGATTTTGATATGGTATATAAAGCAGGGAAAATGAACGTTAATGCGGATGCATTATCTCACAACCCAGTAAAAATTGTCAAAAGTCTCCAAAATGAAATTCAAATAAGCAAAGAAGAAGAAGATTATTATGATAATGAAAAAGATGACTACGATGATGATGAAGATAAAAATGATGAAAGTGATTATTATAGTGAAAATAATGTTGATAATTTATTTAGTGACGAAGAAATTAATTATGATGAAATTGGAGAAAAATCAAATGATATAATAAATGTGAATACAGTGTCTGCGGTTAGAGAATTGAATGTTATTAAAAGAATAATTAATGTGATTTCTGATTCTACGAAAAACGAAAAAGTTAAAAATCTTTGTCAAAATTTTATTGCGGTGATATTACCAGTGAAAAGTGAAAAATTTAATGCTATTACTACTAGAAGTAAATCAAAGAAAATGAGTCAAGAAATTATAAATTCTAATTTGAAAAACATTAAAGAAAAAGTGAAAAATTCTAAATCGAAAGAAAAGTTGAAAACATTTAATCAATTTGGTGAAAATACGCGAAATTTACAAAGTCGAAAAAATCTACTAAATCAATTTGAAGAAAGTGCGAAAAAATTACGAAATCCAGTTCAAGATAAAGTGCGAAATTTAGTGTCAAAAGACGTCGAAAATTTACGAAGTGATAAGCGAAATCTACAAAATCAAAAATTAATTCGAAATCAAGAAAGTATTCGAAATCAAGTTCAAGAAAAAGTGCAAATCGAAGAAAAAGTAAAAATTAAAATCCAAGAAGAAATAAAGAATTCTAAAAATAATATATCTAGTTCAGTTCAAGAAAATGTTCGAAATCTGCGAAATCGTGAAAAATTACGAAAAATAAATTATAATGAAGATATTAATGAAGATTTAACTAAAAAAAAGAGGCAGAATCAAGTGAAAGTGATTTAAAATTTGTAAATTATAATAATATTCATCAATCAAAAAATGATTTTCGTGAAAATAATTCTAGTTCTAGTGAAAAATTCAGTGATGATAGTTTCGAAGATTACGATAAAGTTGAAAATAAAGCCGAAAGTAATACATTAGGAAAAATAATAGATACAGAAAATATTGATTTTTACACGAAAACACAGCTGTCGGATGAAGAGGAACGTCCTCCGCCCGAACCCCCTCCTGAATTTTCTAGTGGTTCCCTTCTAAACGCACATCATACAGGTGACATAGAAAAATCAACAAGTCGACCCTCGCATAGCAATATAGTTGAATGTAAAGACCAGTTAAGAATGCGGAAAGATAATTATGCATACTTTTTATCGACAACAGGCACCCCTATGGATAATGGTTCCTTAAGTCTTTTTAAACAGAATTAACTACCACAATTTAAAAATCTTTTACTGAATGAAGCTAAAGAAATTAAAAAACGAAATAACTTTTTACACATTGCATTACCAATTTCCTCAGAATCAAGCGAAAGTATTACTCAAATAACAAATAACATTAAATTAACAATCCAATCATTTAAAAATTTAACTGAAAAACTTAAATTACGATCGGTTAGTATTGCAAAAACAGCTGTTATAAATCATGTTATTTGGCGAGAAATTGAATTAATTTTAAAGGAAACCTTTCAGAATTCTAGTACTACAATCATAATTTGTAAAGGTTATGTGCAATATGCAACAAAAGAACAGAGACAAATTTTGATAGAAGAAGCGAATTTTTCTGCTTTAGGTGGTCATAAGGGAGTAACAAAAACGTATAACAGAATTAGGCAAAAATATTTTTGAGAAAATATGAAACTCGATATTCAGAAGTATATTCAAGTCTGTTTGCAATGTCAATTAAAGAAATTAGTACGCGTAAAAACTAAAAATCCAATGATTATTACCGACACCCCAGGAAGTGCATTTGAGAAAATTTCAATGGATATTGTAGGTCCTCTACCAGCAACTGAGAGTGGTAA